AACAAATTTCTGGGGGCCTCGGACCCAGAAAAGAGATGAAGAGAAAGAAGCAGGTTTACAAAGGACAAAGAAAGAAGACACAGGATTAGAATGGGTTAATGAAGCAAAGAATAAGCCTTCCCAAAGTGAACAATGAAGCAAGTGGAAAATGGAAGGTTGAACCATAATTTAGGATCCACCAAAAATCCTCATGCTTAAGAGGAAGCCAAGCCCCAGTGTGAATTTGTTATGCACCCAATGTGCTCCGTTTTGTGCTAAGTACATAATGAAGATGAGGCAGGGTGATCTGGACACAGACCTGGACACTCTGACCTCTAGCACAGAAGGGGCTACAGGAGGGCTGGGGTGAAACAGGAATTAAAAGAAATTGAAGAATATGTAAGCAAAAACTCAGTTGTATGTTAAAGAATACCCAATTCCCCCTAAGACAGAAAAAGAGGTGGAGTACTTTAAAAATCAACTGTCTGTTTTTCTGACGCTAGTGAGCCTCAACTTTTCTCCTTTCTCAGGCATTGTGAAGACCCTGTTTCTCTAGCCGTGCAGCTGCAAGGTCACTAGACAGTAAACACAAGTAGTAAAACATGTTTTTCCTTGAAAAGTAAGAAATAATACAATGCAGGTCCCAACTGAATAACTGTCTTTGTTTCTTGTTTCTGTAATATGCTTCCCCCTGCACAGATCTCCCCCCTACCCCACAAAATACTTAAAAGGTAACCTGACTCTTTGTTCCGGGCTCAGTCCTTCAGATGTTAATCTGACTGGGTCGGTGCACCTAAATAATAATATATATCCTCATCAACCCCACAATATCTCTGATTCCTAAATTATGCCGCTGCAGGGGGAGAGAGGCAGCAGGGTACTGGAGTCATACCAGGGAACAAGAAAGACAGGGTAGTGGACAGGCGAGGCAGCTCACACCTGTAATCCCAGCAATTTCGGAGACCAAGGCGGGCGGATCACCTGAGGTCAGGAGTTCGAGACCAGCCTGGCCAACATGATGAAACCCCATCTCTACTAAAAATACAAAATAAGCTGGCTGTGGTGGCAGGTACTTGTAATCACAGCTACTCAGGAGGCTGTGGCAGGAGAATTGCTTGAACGCAGATGGTAGAGGTTGCACTGAGCCAAGATTGTACCATTGCACTCTAGCCTGGGGGATGAGAGTGAGACTTCATCTCAAAAAAAGAAACATTGAATCAAAGAAAGAATGAATCAAAGAAAGAAGGAAAGGAAGGAAGGAAGGAAGGAAGAAAGAAAGGAAAGAAAGACAGGGTAGTACATTTTCCATGAATTTCAATTTTACTCTCTTCCCCCACCACACACACACAAAAAGCATTTGAGGGATGGGAGGAAGAAACCGAGCTCACAGGGAAAATATTAAGAGACATTCAGAAGGACGGGTCTTAGAAATTTACTAGTTTTGGGGGGTCAGAGAACAGTAGTATATAAAAGAACGCTAAGACAGTTCCCAGGTTTAGGCATGGGTGACTAGTTTGATTATTTCATTTTGTCCCACTCACAATGACAAGGAGAATTATTGATAGAACACATGATGGGGCTGATAGAGTGCTAGGAGTTGGATACATGAAAATTTAAATATCATCATTTTGAATAGCCATGTCACTCCAAGTGAGATTCCCTAACATATATGATATACAGACAGATGTATGGGCTTGAAACTCTGGAGATGAATATGGATTTAGGAATCCTTGGAATATAGGTCATGATTTAAGTAATGGGAGTCAAAGATTACTCAGAGGAAGCACAGAATGAGAATAGAAGAGAGAAGCAGGCCAAGGAAGAAGAGATCGGAGGAGACCAAGGCAGGGTGATAAGATCAAAACAGGAGAAAATAATCTGATAGAAGTCCCACTTGATTATCACGTTCCTTCCCAGAGGACAGGGACATACCTTTTTGTCTTTTATACCAAATTATCACAGGTCCTGGCACAGAAGACACACATTTTCTTTTTAAATTGTATTCTACTATTCACAGTTTCCTGTATCCCCCAGGGGAGAAAAAAAAGTAGAAATAAGCACAGACATAGAGTTTTTTACAGTGTATACTAAAGGGGTCAGATGATACACAATATTTTATGTCTTACTTTTTTTACTGAATATATCTTAGAAGTTTGCACATGCTCTATGGAAAGACTGGCTGTATTTTTTTGGTCCACAACTGTTATAAAATGTACACTATAATTTTTATTTAACCAACTCTTTATTGGTGGACATTAAGAATGGAGGAATGTTTCAA